CTGTCGAATTTTCTGTCTAGGATTTCAGCGGGAAACGATTCGCGCGCGCAAGAGGGCGAGGAGAGATGGCTTGGCCGCGCGCTGTTTTTACTTTGATCGCCAGCTTGTTGAACGGAGAGCAATCGCGTTGGAACTATCTACTACCGTCCGAGCAATCACGCTCGTACCGCCATTTGTGCCATTGCCGTTGCTCTTGTTGGAGCTCCGGTACACGCACAAAGCGCATGGATAATTAGACTTGGGCTCCTGCTGCTGCTGCTGCAGCTGCAGCAGCAGCCAGCATAGCAGTAGTTGCTGCTCGGCGCTCACGTTCTCTTCCCTTTCCAGCGGTGTGTTGGTCAAAGTTTTACCCATGAGAGGGGCTACGCCCCTTCATGGCTTGCTTTTCCGCCGTTTCTCTCCCGTTACCTGCCGTCTCGGTGCGCCCTTTCAAGGCGCATTTCCGAGCCTCGGGTACTTTATTTCTTTCGATTTTTTTTTTTTTTTTTTTTTTTTTTTTTTTTTTTTTTTTTTTTAGTTTAGTTTTTTTAGTTTTATTTCCTCCGGTGTTACCCGTAAATCTTCGACAGTGCTTCACTCGGTTTATTTTTTCACGCGAACGTGACGTACTCAAAATTTGATGGCGGAGCTTTTGAGGAGGACCAACCTGCTTTTCCCGTTCGCCGCCGCGTTATACGTAGTCCGGCAATTTCGCGGAAAAATGAAAGAACAAATTTTACCTCGATTAAATTGCGAACATGGGGGATTACCGCGAATCGATGTACTGCGTCGGTTGTCGAGGTACCGCGAGATTATTTAACGAATAATTGTTTGACTGAATAGTGGATTGTGTATGCTGTTGTTTATCAATACCTCATGACTGTTTACAATAATCATCTGTCTAACAGAATTGAACGTGTTTACCCGGGTACTTTGTAAATTATGTTATTGTCAAGAATATAATACGAAATAATGACGCGGTAATCAAATGGACAGAACAATTAATTACGTAGGAATAAGCAATTGCGATCACAAGCGCAAAGCGGGAGTCAAATTTGCGTTTCAATTTCTCTCTCTCTCTCTCTCTCTCTCTCTCTCTCTCTTTCGCTCTCTTTCAGCGATAAAATTATGTAGAAATATCATAGAAAAAATTTTGCTCGTGCGCACACGCGAACGAAATATTAATTATAAAATTTCGAAAACATTTTCAAGTCAAGAATTTAATTAATTTGACCTAACGATTTATTCGCAAAAAACAAGTTTTTCTATGAAAAATCATTTTCCAAAATTGTGTAATAAAATTTTCACTACAAAACTATATATGTATATATATAAAAACACGATAATATATTATTATAAGCATGCATTAAAATTACTAAATATAATTAATAATAGATTAAAAATTGTAAAATATTCAGGACATTTTCGCCAGTAAACTCCGAAATATAAGTAATACAAAATTGCAATTAAAATATTCAGTCAGTTACGTAAAAGCCATCACAGTCTCCTCTCCACTTTTCAAAGCACGCGAGAAATACGTGTAACTTTTATCACAGACCGCGTTCCGTCTAGATATCCGCCGAGATATTTACATAACCCACAAATTTGAGCGAATTCATGTCCTTGGAGTGCCGTTTCCGCACGATGGATATGATAATCTCGCGTTCCCGAAATTAGAGTCGCAATCGCGCACACAGTCGTTCTTGGGATTCAACCTAGCTGGTTGAGATCTCTCCCGTATGGTACTCGGAAAATTAGATCTCTTTCTCTCCGCATCAACGGAGCATTCGAGAGGAAAAGAGGGGAGAGGAGATCTTGAGTGCTTTCCCGTTGTTTGTAAAACGCGCGCAACGGAACATCCGTCTCGATGTAAGAGAAAGTCTCGTTTTCGGTGCACTCTGTATACCCTCGTGCGGGAATCGAAAAGCGGCTCTCTCGCGGAGAGAGAGAGACGCCGCGCGCGCGCTGCGGCAAGAGGGAAGTGACTCTCGATCTGCAACTCGTCTCTCTCTCGTATCTTACGAAAGTAGGGCAAGCCACGCCTAGCGAGGCGTGTGCTCTTGGGCTCTTGCAAACATTACGGGCGAACACGAGATACCGCGACGTCTCGGGACATTTTTTTTTCTTTTGTTTTTTCTTCTTATTCTCGTGTCGCGCGCACGAGATCGTGATTCATATACATGGATCCGCGGGCGCGAAGAATCGCGCGCAGCCGCGCGTCGCCGACGAGGTGATCGTGAATTTATGATCCGTTCGCCGCCGGATGTCGAGCAACAATGCGGCACATTGTCGCATCAGAAAGCGATCAATCACACGCCGAGATTAATTAATACTTTAATAGCATTATACGGAACTATCGTCGATTCTGATTAACGCCCTTCGCCCGCGAATACGGGCAGCATTGTGCCGCCGCTTTACAAACCTCGCGCGCGAGCAAATTGGGATTTAACCGACTCACCGACTGCATATTAGGATCCTTGTACTCTCTCTCTCTCTCTCTCTCCCTCCCGTTTACCTGGGTGAATTTATAGAATCGAAGAAGAACGAACACGCAGTCTCCTGCTTCTGTAGTACAGAATGATAATTTCGCTTCAGACATTTGCGAAGGTTGCCGAATGTACTCGGTGTTCGAGATAAACGCGCGCAGCTGTATTATTTCTCCGAAAGTTACAGAGAAAAAAAATTTTTCTCAAATTTCTAACATATAATAATAATTAAGTGTGAGTTTTACACAAATTTATTTGACATTAAGTATTATATTAACTTTTTTAACTTAAGTTATTTTTTACTGGAAGAATCATTTAAACAGATTTTCCGACCAATAACGCAAATAAAAGTGATTGATATTAGAGGAATCAAAAACACGTAGCGCGCCGCTCGCCGTAAGTCGGGGATCTTCGGAGACGCTCGGGTCCGTCACATGACACTTTTTCAAATTCGGCAAACTTAACGTCGAGCGGGGATCAGTCTGTAACTTGATCTTTCCGCGTACGCGCTTGTTTTTTTCCCGTCTTAAGTAAATTCCACCTGCAAAGTTCAGGAAGCGATAAATTTTGGAGTGTTAAGTCCACTCGACTCGTGATAACAATCTGTGTTATCCTCGGTGTGTCTAATCGGTATTAGTGTCTATTGTGTTGGTAAAATATCGCTCGCTTCGTCTTTGACATTCGCGCACGTAATTCGCATCGTTAACACTCGATCGACGTGTCCTGCGATTGTTATTCACGACATTTGGATCGTCACGTCAACAACGAAATTGTCAAGCGCTCGTTTCGATGTATTCGATAACAGGCAAGTAACTAGTTGAATGCGCGACACACATACAATGTAATCAATATCCGTCACTTTTCGAGATTACTTCTCAGTCGTGTTATTTGTTTACTATTTTATCAACGTTTCTTGGATCAAAACATCGAAAATATGAACAACGATCATTGTCGCAAGATAGATAATCTTCTTGTTTGTAATAAATAATCACAAATAATGTTGAAAAATGTATTTTTCTCAAGCGAGTTTTGAACGAGAACGAGTTTCGAATCGAAAAGATCGATGAGAGAGGAGCACTTGTCGTACGCACAGATACATCTTTTTTTTTCTCTGTTTACATAACCAACCGCGCTCAAGGATACAAAATAGCTGTCGAAATTTTCGGTTGTGCGTTTCGTGAACACCTTATGTGTTACGTGAATATACATATTCGATGGCACGTTTAATCTTGAACGTATTCGAGGCGGTAGACGGCGGTACACGGCCCCAGGACAAATAGAAACTCGAGCTGGCGACCTCTCTGCATAATGCATAACATAGTCGTCTTCTTCATCGTCGTCGTCGTCGTCGTCGTTGCAAGTCGGTGGTCGACCCGGGACTCTCCCTCCCTTCCACGCGCTTTCCCGTTCCTTCGTTAGCCTTTTATCCTTCCTTCGCTTTCCCTTACTTATTCCAGGTAGTAGTTTTCTTCTACAAGGAGATATGCATATATAAGTTCAGCGCGAAAAGAGGACAAAAGACTTGTTTTCTTTTCGTTTCTCTTCTTTTTCCGCCCTTCTGTAAAAGAATACATGCGTTCAATTTGGAGTAGTACACGTCGTCGTACGTACCATACTGCGCAATACGCGCGGGCGAACCCAATCTTCTCGAAGTAATATATTCTCGTGGAGGTTCTCTGCGAGCGCACACACGACAACGCGATAATAACGCGAATATATATATTCTTTCACGACTATTTGAAATTTTAATTTGAAGCTATTGTCATTCGATCGGAATCTATATATTAAAAAAAAAAAATTCATACGATACTCCGCGGTTGAACAAGTAAAAATACACGTTCTCGCACGTATTTTTGCGTCGTCACGTCTGTAAAAAATGAAAACACGATCGAAAGAAGTTTGTGGTCTCTTACACGTAGGTTCCGATCCAAATAGCGAAGGATCGCAGGTCAAAATATCTTCACGATGTCTTTGTTGTTTTGTAGTTTCTTAAATTATTATTTCCTTACATTTCTTTTCCTAGGACACAGCAGTGTCACGCCACCGGAAAAGAAAAATTTAGACTCTGACACGTTTTTTTGAAATAGTCACAGTCTTGCAATATGGAATATCTTTCGTCTTTTACAGCCATTATTTATTAATTGGGGAATTTAATATATTTAATATTAAATAGTACAAAAAAATATAACTTTTTTGTCGAGAAAATAAAATTTTCTTGTTTTTGAGACATTCTTGTTTTCTTCGAAGAAAAAAAAAACGGATTTGGTTTGAAACTTATTTATTGTTACAAAACTTTTTATAAAACACTTTTTCTTTAAAAATAATGGTGGCATTTAAAATTCTTTGATTTGCAATTACGCGTTATTCAACAGATTTAAATTAAAAAATTTGCGCATGGAATTACGATAAAACGCCGCGAGATATTTTACGTTATTACTTTAATAATGCAATTTCTGTTGTACACAGAGAGATAGATAATTTTATTTGCCGCGGGCTTCTCCGTCCGTTACATAAATCGCTGTTGTGTGGTTACAGGAATGACGATCGGTAGCGGTGATGATGAGGCGTGAAAGTTACCGTTGATTCGTCGGACGTCCTGCTTGGGCCATTTGTTTCCAGGATGAGTGTGTCGCTGCGGATTTTGGCTCTGATCAGCTTAGCCGCGCAAAATGTGGCTTGGCCGCAGGATCCCTTTCCGAGACTGCACATCAAATATCGTGAGTAACATCAAAACGAACGAGAAAATACTCGCTTACTTATGAATCAACTGTACTCACAATCAAGTTAAATAGTTTTTTTTTTTTTTTTTTTTCTAACTTGTACCAACCGCGTTTATTGCTGCATGATAGTATATAAGTTTCGCTTCCGTAACAATGTTAACACTTACGCGTAACACTCGCGTAACATATTTTGATAGTTGGCTACTAGTTCTAATATTTGCCACAAGATAACCTTCGTTTAACTGACGCCTCTACCGCAGCAAATTGAATTGGGAACTATCGTGGAATTAAGTGCAATTTGCCTGCTAATTTATTACTATATCCTCAATTTTAGTGCCGAGCCATTTAGTAGAAATTTGTGGCGAAAGATACAGATACCCTTCGCTTAACGTTAAGTCATTCTCTATCGTAACAAAAAGCGATCGATGAAACGAGAGGATGATTGCATCAAAATTTAACGTTGTTCACGATTCTAACTTTTTTGTATTTTTGTTAATAGATTCCGCAGACGCGGTTATCGCGTAGATTACTTTAATTTACTAAGTCGCGACATTTGTAGTGATCGAAAAATTTGAAGTGATGCAAAAATTAGAAGAGAGACAGACGTAGAAATCGGAAAATGATCGCGTCGGTGCGCGTTTTCATGTCGCCGTCGATAAATGTAATTATCTAAATTTCAATATCGACACCTTCGCTTCGAGGGCTCAATAATGATCCATTACTAAATTTAGCGACGCGACGCCGCAGCGATGGCCTTTTGCGAGACGGAATTTAATAAAATGTAGCCACACTTTCACCGCGCTATTTTATAGATTTATCGAGTTACCGAATTGACGGCACAGCTAGCCTTTCAAGAGAGATATACATAGGCGTTCAATTAAAATTAATCTAATTAATCAGTCGCGGAGCGTCGATACTCTTCGTCGCAATTCACGCCGCGGTCGCAAATTTATCGCGCACTTACGGGTGGTTTTTCATTTCGTTAAAAAAAAAAAAAAAAAAAAGCTTCCGTGTGTATGATGATCCCCTATCGTCACGCCTGTAGACAAACATTTACAAGCGTATTTCTTTGACGAATGTGAATTTTTCTTTAACAAAAAATACATAGACAAATAAAAATTGCTCTCTTCTCGTTTTAAACAATTTCGTTTCATAACATTTTATAACAAATTGATTCAAGAATTTAAGTACTAAAATATTTTTAGCACAAAAAATTAATATAAAGAAAGATGATGACGGATAATTAAATTTTTCCCGCAGAGAAAATTTTACCTCGTACACATATGTCAAAGAAAATATATAATTAAAACAAAAATTTCTCTAAAAAATATACAAAATTTCAAACACGTTAAATACATATACGCTATATATTTCTCAAATTTACGCGCTATGAGATGTTTCTTGATCCAAATTCGCGGCGGTCGCGAAAAATCTAAATTTATTCAAAGCGTCTTCCCCGAGTGCCCGAAAAAAAAATTGGCTAAAGCGAACTCGCGGGAAATAATGTAGATAAGAACGCTATCCACCCGGCGGCGGCAACCGTTTATCACGCGCAATCTCCAACGTGCTGGTTAACCCGTGACTTAATTTTCATTCGTATACACAAAAGAAGAAGAGGTTGAGCAGAAATAAAAAAGAGAAATAAAATAAAAGAATCGTCGTGAGAAACGACGGCGGTAGCGACGGGAAGTGGCGCTCAAAGCATTTGTCGCGAGACGACCCCGCGCCATTCTGTACCTCTTCGAGAGGTCGCATTCTGCGCCGGATTTAGTTGGCGACTTTCATACGTGACTCCCCGGCGGCGTATTCACGCGTTGTCAACGGCTGCCCTGTCGATTCAAAGGCGCTTCCCGCGCGGCTCGTGTGAGAACACCCCTTTTCGACCGCACCTGTGGATTTGCTTGTCTCTCATGAACGCGAACATGCCCCAAAAGCGAGCAGACCGATGAGAGGCTAAACATAGACACGCGGGGTAAGCAAAGGGACGAGCAAGATGTTTCCGTACAGGTATCGAAGGAGAAGCAAGGTGCGAGAAAAAAAACTTTCTACGAAGTGAAAGGATTCTTCTTTTGTATATTTATTTTAGTTTTTTACATGAAAACTATCAATTAATTAGTTATTAATTAATTATGACAGATTTATGGCAAGGTTTTCATGTTTAAAAATATTACATTTGATTTGTTATTAAACGCGAACGCGCGTTATTCAGAAAGCAAAAGAACAAGCGAGAGAAGATAATTTCTCGTGTGGGTGTCGAACAAGCGCGAGATAAAATTAATATCTCTGAGAAGGCGTATTTTTTTTTTTTTTATCGCCGATCGAGGTGAAAGGGTTTTTCCTTTTTTGGCTATTGCAATTTTAATTAATTAATTACGGTCCACGCATTTCTCGTGTTCAAAACGCGTTACGTTTGATTTATACGTCGTATAAGAAATTTTGCAAAAATAATATTTTTAAATCCAGACTGATTTATGACCGTGTACGCATCTGGATATTGTAATGTTTGTTAACGACTCGGCGCTTTGAAGCGAAAAACAAAAGATTTATACGCGTTGCATTTACGATACACACGTCACACATCGCTCTCGTCCGCGTCATTTTATTACCTTACGATAGAACGTGTTAACGATAGAATCTACCTACCCCGCGCCGGGGGGGGGGGGGAGAGTGGAATTTTGACTCTGTCACTCTGAGAGATTTACTCGCGTGAGGTATCGAAAAATTACAAAGGTCGCCGCCGCCGTCGTTTTCGCGTCGCGTCGCGTTCGATCGCAATACGCGCGTCGTCGCTTCTCGTCGTAAACAAAGATACAATCGATAATTTCCGGGGAAATCGGGGATGACGGCTTTTCGGAAGTTCAGCCGACCGGAAGAGAGAGGATCACACGCTGCGGCGGCGACGAGACATCGGCCAGGCGTGCGGGGGTTAACGACCGTTGGAAATCCACCACCGTCGGCCGGTGATGGTGGTGGAGATCCGCCTCGGAGCTTTTGACGCGAATCAAATATTGGCGTGTGTCCTGTCGATCGGCGGCCCGCGCGCACGCCATCGGTGCCGCGCGGCCCGCTTTGGTAAATCCTATTGAGTATTCAATTACGGTGGAAACGCGCGCGCGGGGAAACGAGAGAGGAATATATACGTACCTGTACGTACGTACGTACATACGTACGGTCGCTCGAGATGAAATTGAACGCTCGCTCGACGTGTGTATAACAGCGAACGTCACAAATGTCAGAATATCCTAAGGAATTTATTGAAGCGTCGCGCATACCGCGCCGCGAGAGAGAGATCTATGGTCGCGTCTCGAATTCTTCTTTCGATAATTGATTTTTGGCTTGAAATCGATGACTTTCCGTTACGTTTCCGAATAGTTTCCGAGAGCGTCACAACACGTTGTTATTACCTCGCATGTCGAAGTGTTGAGTAATATCTCCGCGGTGTTAATGTAGGTTAGTCCATTCGCGCTGCGTCGCCACGACGACGACGTATAGGAAGCCATACACACTCGACTCTCGGCAAGAGTAAGCTCGTTAGGGCACGAGGAAGAAACTTTGTTAAGCTCGGAGAGACCCGCGTCACTACGGGTATACAGTCCGAGTGCAATGTGTGTGTGTGTTCTCTGCGTGCTCTTTCTCTCTCTCTCTGTCTCTCTTTTCTCTTTCTCTCCCTTTCTCTCTCTATATCGAGTTCGCGCGCACCAAGAAAGCTGCATCAGCTGCGGGCGCAATCGGCAGTTCGCTCTCTCTCTGACTGCACACTCTTGATCAAACCCTCCCCGAACGAAGCTTGAATTATTCTTCCGGCGTTTGCAGGGTGCTGGTTATAGAGCGACGTCGAATATTCCGGCATCGACTTGGAACTTCGCTAAGTAGCGTAAATGTACCGTAAACGATAGCCCGATATAACGCATTCTCTCGTCGGACATGCCGACGGCGATTCGCCACCGACTGTTAATGCAATTCGATTCCAGAAGAAGGGAGAGAACGAGAGATCACACGAGTGCCCATCGAATTTATTTCTGTTGAATTGGGCTAAATCGTTTGGTTAAATTAGCAGCGGAAATGTAAATTTTTATTATCTCCGCCGCGTCACACGACGACATTTTTTTTTTTTTTTGTCATCGCATCGAATTCATTTCCGTGAACGGTAATGGCTTCTAAAATTTTTACTAAATTGAATTGCGCTTTGCCTTGTGTGCTCGATTTTTTTTCTTTTTTTTTTTTTTTGCGTAACATGATGATGAACAAATTTCTCTTACGTTCGCTTTAATTTCGCGCCCCCGATCCAATATTGCACGACGAGCGTTTCATTCAACCGATTTCTCGCATACAGAGTCTCGCTCGATTTCGCGACACATATTTCTGCATAACAAACAACATAGAGATTTCCAGGCGCGCATTTCTGATCTCGCCAGCTTTAAACTTTGATGAGATCGAAAACTAATCGTAGGTTCCGCGGCGGCGGCGGTGGTTCAGATTATATCATATGTAATTATGAAGTTGATTTAGGTCCGGAAGCGATACCGGGGGGAAACTGCGTCTGTAACTAGCGGGGTAACTTAATTCTGCATTAGAGGGTGGTTCTCTCCCCCCCTCCCCCATTTAACGGGCGCAATGCGGTACCCTTAAAGACATATCTCAGAGAGAGATTTGCATTCACGTAAATACCCTTTAGTAAGCGCGCTCGGAAGTAAACGGGGTAACTTTCCACGGGGGCTCAAACGCGAAGCTATTCTATTCCCGCGTTTTGATATATGTATACCCCTTGGAACGTGTGTCTGAACAACGCCGTTCGACAAATACCGCCGTGTGCAGTCTGTGTGCTCGCTGACCGTCTCAAGGAAAATATTTCTCTTGTGAGTAGAGCTCTCTGTGTACAAATTTTACATCGCGCACGAACGGCTATAATAACCAGCTGAGACAAATAGACGCGACGAGACGCGAGAGAATTAAATCTTTCTCTCTCTCTCTCTCTTTTACAAACACACACACACACA